CCACATAGTATAACGTAAGAATGGGTACCAGAATAGCCCAATAATAGCCCTAAGAGACATGTAATAGGTGCTGGATAGACACCATGAGGCTATTTTGTATCTTGGTCAGTTCTGTACCGTTTTCTACCAAATAAGTGTTGATTACCAGCTATTTGATGTCAATTTCAGGGCCTGAAGAGACGAGAGGCATCTGCCATCATATTTTTGAGATATCTGTCATGCTAAGTTTCATGATTCATCAGGATGGTGTACTCTATCTTTGTGAGTTCTCCATCACCATCCTTCATTAAAGGCTCATTTACAACATATTCTAGTGTAGTTTAAAGGCCCCAAAGAGACGAGAGGTTTGCGTGTCTGTGTTCTGGAGATATCTTCCATTTTCTGTTTTGGGGAGCAAGTACCTTAGGTCAGTCAAATTTCCATCGTTTCTTATGATCTAGGGCTCGTTTAAAACATATTCTAGTGTAGTTTGAAGGTCCCGAAGAGACAAGAGGTTTGCGTGTCCGCGTTCTGGAGATATGTTACATTTTCTGTTTTGGGGAGTGAGTACCCTAGATCAGTCAAATTTCCATCGTTTCTTATGATCTATGTCTCGTTTAAACCATATTCTAGTGTAGTTTGAAGGTCCCAAAGAGATGAGAGGTTTGCGTGTCCGCGTTCTAGAGATATGTTACATTTTCTGTTTTGGGGTGTGTGACTCTGTCACACCGTCTCAGGCAATTCTTAGCTATTTTCTATGATCTTAGGTTCATTTAAAGTATATTCTATTACTAGTTGAATAATATGTACAGACAAAAGCCAATTTTATTTGTTTCGAATGAGCTAGCATGTGTGGTTGATGAGGCTGAAAATCCCGGCTCTAGCCGGCTCAAGCAGTAGCCAGGCCAGATCAATCGGCTCGGCTCGGCTCGGCTGTGGCTTGAACCAGCTAAAAGCCGAAGCCGTGGCAACACTATCTGGCAGAACAGCTAGTATAGCAGGGTTATAGTACTTTTTGGAACTTGGTACAACTCAGTGCTTGCGGGAAGTGTGTCTGCAAAAGGGAATAACCTCCCATGTTGAGAACAGGCTTTCTTCCCCAGCAGGCTTGTCAGATGTTGGCTATGGTCCTCAGTGAAGGTGTTCCACCTCAAAAAGTCTGCTTTTTGCTTCCTGAGCTTGGATATCCAGCTCCTCTGCCTCTGTAAACTTTCCCATGTTGTGATATATCACTGCCAGATTCTCCATTGATTTGATTGTTTCTGGGTATTCCACTCCAAGAATTCTGTACCTTGCATCCAGTACTTGGGTCTCTAGTTTTTCTGCCTCTATGTATTCTCCCAGGCACTCCCAGGCTAGAGTATCTTGCTGCTAAATTTGATGTACTGTTATGGTGTCTGTATTTTCCACTCCAAGAAGTCTGCTACTTGCATCCAAAGCTTGGATATCCATTTCCTCTGCTTCTTTGAATTTTCCCATGTTTTGATATGTTAATGCTGGATGTTACATAGCTATTATGGTGTCTGGATATTCCACTTCAAAAAAAATTCTGTTACTTGCATCCAGAACTTGGATCTGCAGCCTCTCTGCCTCTGTAAACTCTCTCATGTTTTGATCTATTGCTGTTATATTTGCCATAGCTGTGATGGTGTATGGATGTTGCACTCCAAGAATTCTGCTCCTCACATCCAGTACTTGAATCTCTAGCTTCTCTGCCTCTGTGTATTTTCCCCAGCTATAATATGTTGCTGCTAGATTTTCCATGGCATAGATTGTATCTAGGTGCTCCACTCCCAGGATGTTGCTTCTTGCACTCAGCACCTGGATCTCTAGGTTCTCAGCCTCTGCAAATTTTCCCATGTTTCGACATGTTGTTGCTAGGTTTGCCATGGCATAGATTGTATCTGGATGTTCCACCCCAAAGATTCTGCTTCTTGCATACAGAATTTGAATCTCTAGCTTCTCTGCCTCAATGAAATTTCCTATATTTCGAGATGTTGCTGCTATATTTGCCATAGCTGTAATGGTATCTGGATGTCCATTTCTGAGAATTCTGTTCCTTGCATCCAGGACTTGGATCTCCAGCTTCTCTGCCTCTATGAATTTTCCTGTCTTTTGATATGTTGCTGCTAGATGTGCCATAACTGTGATGGTATCTGGATGTTCCACTCCAAGAATTCTGTTACTTGTATCCAGTACTTGGATCTGCAGCTTCTCTGCCTCTGTGAATTTCTGTAGGCATCGATATGTTGCTGCTAGATTTGTCATGGCATTGATTGTATGTGGGTGTTCCACCCCAAGATTTCTGTTACTTGCATCCAGGACTTGGATCCCCAGCTTCTCTGCCTCTGTGTATTTTCCCCTGCTATAATATGTTTCTATTAAATTTATCATAGCAAAAATTGTGTCTGAATGTTCTGCTCCAAGAACTCTTTTTCTTGCATCCAGTACTTGGATCTCCAGCTTCTCTGCCTCTGTAGATTTTCCTAGTTTTCGATATGTTGCTGCTAGATATGCCATGGCTGTGATTGTATCTGAGTGTTGCCCCCCAAGAATTCTGTTCCTCATATCTAGAACTTTATTTTCCAAAGTTTCTGCCTCCTTGAAATATCCTTGTTCCCACAACAGCCTCCCAAACTTTGCATAGGCATCATCCATGTAGCTGACAATATCTTGACTGCCTTCTGATTTATAATACCCCTTATTTGCTCTCACATGTGTTACCAAGGTCCTTTGGAATTGATATGGCTGGCTTTTATCCCATCTCAGTGAACAAGACAAGGTGGCAAATGCCATTAAGCAACATTTTTTCCTTGCATTTGAAGTCAATCTGTCCCTGCCCCATGCATGAACTAGTGGATGCATTGCATACACATGATCAGACAGGCCCCTCTTGATTAAAGAGAAAGATAGTAATATTCGAATTCCCTCCCTAAAAATGAAATTATCCCAAGTACCCATTTTACAAAGAGGAAGTAGTCTTCGATCCAGTAGGGAACTGGCAAGAGGTAATCCTAAGATATGAGTTCTATCAACCTTTGCAAGGGCAGCATAAGAAAATATTTCTTCAGTGATTTCCTCATGATGGAGGAAAGGGAACAATTCAAGAAGTAACATTGCACTATTGGCTGCATCAACCTTATGAGAATCATCAGATTTAGCCCTTTGCTGAATTTCTTTGTATGATAGCTCCCAAGTGTCATAGACAGTTCTGTTATACTTAGAAGCCCCTGTAAATTCTGAATGGGATAACAATATTTTTTGATGCTCTGAATATTTTGCAAGATAGCCTCCAATAGTGGTGGCCCCAGAAGCAATATAAGCACCAGCCTGATCAATAGCAAGAGGAAAACAGAAGAGCTCCTTTACAATCTTAGAGGCTTCAACTTGAACACCTGATGTGGATGATTCCAGGCAACTAGATTTCAGAAGTAATTCAATAGCATCCTTTTCTTCCATTTCAATCACCTCAAGAGAATTCTCAGCTAAAGTCAGAGTTTTCATGGCAGAGTTACGACTAGTTATCAGAATGTTTCCCTTCTTCCCAGGTGGGAAATATGCCTCCAGTGCAGCAGGTGACAGAACATCAGCATTATCAAAGATCATGATGTAATTCTCTTTCAGAGAGCCAACCCAGTGGAGAGCAGACTCAGGGGAGCCATCCAGTGCACAAGACTGACTGATACCCTTAAGTGCCTGTAAGATGGTTCCTGAAGATGATGCATCAACCCAGAAAACTTGAGAGAAGCTGGGGGCAATTTAATTTGGTTTGGACAGGATCAGACTTGTGCTTGATAGGTGCTCACCTGTCATCCATTTCCTCAACAAACTTCAAGCAAATCTGAGTCTTTCCAACACCCCCCATTCCATATAATAGGAAGAATTTCCTCTTCTGAACTGCGTCATTCATGCTGGTGAAAAAATGGCTCTTGAGTTTGGCAATGATTTTCGTACGCCCTGTGAACCGAATGCTCGGATTTGGCATGAGGGACATGACCCCATTGGACGGTGTTGTATTGCCGTAGTTGTGGTGGATGTTGATCTGCAACAGATTCACCGCCATCAGCTTGGTATGGACCGGTAGTAAACAATCCACTCACAGTGTTAGCTTCGTTGTATGTGTTGTTGCTAGCAACGAAGTGGTGGGCGCGCGCAAAGAAACCCCTTTCGCTCATGTTGAGATATCGAAGATGGAGAGGTTCAAGATGAGGGAGGGAAAGAAAGGACAGCGCCCAAACCCACTGCCCAGACCCCCAATTATGCCATGAGGTGGGTTGGTCTATTTTTACCTACATGCAAGCACGTGCCTGGGCTTTTCCGACCTCTCTCTCTTTCTCAATCCTCGGCGGCTTACTGTCTCTGGTAGCTGAGCTCGACTTTCTAGTATGTCAGTTCTGTATAGCACCGACAGGGCTCACGAAGAGAGAACGACGTCCGCTGCTAGTGCCGGACGCGCGTATTGGATAGATGCTAGGCTGTGCAGTGCATTACAAGTGCAATCGACGAACGCGGACCATCGGTTCTCCTCGACCCCCATCCGTTCAAGGCCGTCACGCGTCACATTGGCCGAACAGTTGGTCGAAATACCACAGTACCTCTTTCTTGCGTTCCCCTTACAAGTCTTTTGCATGAACGCCAAAAGCCACTCATCGTCGCGTTAACCGAAGTTCGTAATCCGTCCCTTCTCTATGAAGTGTTCACCGTGACGAGCACAACTCTCAAGCATGCCTCCGAAGTTTTGCCAGTGGTCTTCATCGACGACAAAAACAAGCCCGCAAACATCCCAGACTGCTCAACAATGATCGCTCAATCCTTCAAACTCGGTCCGAGCCAAGTAACAGCCACCAACATCAGTGGTGTCCGACTCACTCTCTCCAAGACCTCCGACCAACATTCGGACGTCAGCGACATCTGGGTCAAATACGGAGGCGAAATCTCCATGGGCGAAGCTCGGACACAACACTTTGTCTCTCAATACCTCCACAACACGAAATGCACAACCGTGCGTGCTCCTCGCGTTTATATCGCCTTTACGTGGAAGCGCTTTGGGTTCATCGTTTCGGAGTTAATATATGGAAAGCAATGTGAGAGCTCGGATGATGTACTCATCAGCGATGCTGTAAAAACCCTCATTAGCATCCCGAGCCCCGATTCGAGAAAGCCTGGGCCTGTAGGGGGAGGTCTGATCGGGCACCCGTTTTTCTGTCATCGGTTGGCTGATATTGAATATGAGTCCGTCGAGGACTTGGAGGATCATGTGAATGGGGTAAGTGTAATCTTTCTTTTGTCCTTTCGCACTCTCCGCTGATACCTTCAAACAAAACCCACAGATCCTCACCGTAACAGAACGTAAACCCCGCGTCAACTTCCGTGACGAAGTCGCCACACACGGACTACGTCTCTGCCCCTCAGACCTGAAATACGTCAACTTCCTCAAAGATACAGATGGGGGCATCGTAGCGGTGGATTTTGCAGGCTACTCTTTCCTTCCGCCTTCCTTTTTCGTGTTTGCTTTGACGCAGGGAAGTCTGGCGTACCGCATTTCCGTGATTCTTGATTATCTAATGTCGTCGACGAATGCAAAGGGAGTGGCGAGCGCTTCGTATGCGTTGGTTCCGTTTCATAGTAATAAAATTGGTGAGCTGATCTCCTTCTTTTCTAAGGACAAGGAGCTCACCGTACTTACTGGACAGGCCTTCCGAAACGACTGCGGTCCAAACTTCTTTTCTAGACGCACGCGCCGCACAAGCCGTGTAGATCTGGAACCGTGATGGTACTTGATACCTATCACACGAAAGAAAAGAGGTGTCAGGAAAGTCTTTTGTTCCTCTTGCTTGAAGTATCATCGTGATGACTTTTGTTACTTTTCAGAGATGGAACGACGATACGTGGTGTACCATACACGCATATATATGCGCACAACCAGTAGTGTGTGTGTATCGATATCCTGATGCACAATGCTGACCTGGAAAATTCTCTACGTTCAGAGGTGCAGGTGAAGCTATAGCTAGCCGCATTTAGGATGAAGGAGCGGGGAGATAGGGCGTCTTCCGACGAGGAGTAGTTCGCACCTTGTCTCTGTAATATGTAGCCTATTGTATTTCTACCTCAGTTCAATACATCGTCCAACACCCGTCATTCACTCTCTTTCACATACGCTTCCTTGAGCATCTTTCCCTAATCCAACCAAGCCATAAGATGTACTCTGAAGACCACCCAGAATCTCCACTCCCGGCAGATACTCCCCTCGGACCGGCAGTGGAGAGCTCGTACCTCTCCTCGATCGACGCCGCAAAACCAGATGCATGACCCACGACTAACCCCGTCCTTCCGCGTGGTCGACATCGACTCATTCTCCTCTGCGTCCACGACCTCTTTCTCCACATAACCCCCAACCGCACCAACACCCGCTCAACGCGCACAAATTCAACGCGATCATCCTCCACCCATTGATTAGCCATTCGGTCCTTCGAGCATTCAAACTGTCCCTTGCATTAGGGTTGTTGAGGTGGATCAAAAAAATCCGATCTTGGAAGAACGACGCTGAGGGGAAGGGGAAAATCATAGATGTCGATGAGTATGTCGAACGCATTTGAGCTGCGTATTCGTACTCGTGGCGTTCGGAGCCTGGTGGCGATGTACGACGTGGGCCTCTCCAAGATCCACCTTCCCCACGCATCACCGCTTCACAAAAGTCTATCCCAACCATCGACAACAGCGGGGGAGGTGCAAAGCAAGCCTTGCCTTTCCGTATCCAGAATACAAGTCGGAATACCCAGTAGGTTTCAAAATCCAAAGGGAAGTGAGAAAAGCAGAGTGGGTGGTGTGCATGAGCGTCGCAGAGGAGGTGTAGGTTGTCGTGGGTTTGATTTGAGGGGAGGAAGTGCCGCATTTCTGCCAGATAAGTCGTGAATCCTTAGCTTGGATTCGGTCGACGTAATCTGACCTAATTGGAACAAGAGGAGGTCAGGGCTATGTCATAAAAGAGCGTTGTATGATACCCACCTTCAAATCGAGATTCGTGTCTCTATTTTAACGTCCAAGTTTCTCTCTGAAGCTGTGCTGGGACTAGAAGAAATACAAAAATCAACCGCTGGATGTGGCGTGAAGGAGGGGTGAGGGTGTTGTGCGTACCCTGTGGTCTACGTGGTTGGGTGACATTGGCTTCTAGCGAATGAGGATTAGGTGCCGCTCACAGTCCATCCTGACCTGCTTTTGACGGATATAGAAACCCAACGTTTGAGGGGAACGAGACGTCGGGGAATCACTACAACAACATCAGTGTGTAATATTGCACGACAGAAGTAAGTGTCGTACTCACCTCTCGCCTGACGTACAACTCCCAATTTGACGTTCAAAGGGTATGCCTCTTTCAACTAACATCGGTGGAGAGACCTCTTGAGGGAGACGGCGACTTGAGGGGATGTCAAGAGGCGTCAGGCAAAGCCATCGAATCTTGTGGAAGCCGATCGAAAGGGAAAAGGGGGAAGCAACTTGGGAACCAGATATATTCGGCCGCTGCAACTCGACTGTCACCCTCTTTGCCCTCTCAGCAGGAGAAGATTCTTTCGGACCTGATCTGCACTATCGGCTCGTGAATGGCAGGGACATTGACCCATCCATCGTCCATTTCTGTCACGATTCATCCTCCACCAGAGATCGAAACGAAGGAGCTGTGTTTTTTGTCTTCTGAAAGGCCCTCCCAACGATCGACCTCAGTCAGGAGGACGGGGAGAAGGACCAAGAACAGACTTGGTGGCGGGGAGGTTGTAGAGTGGGCACGTTGCTAGTGCAGTTGAGGGACCTGCGAAGGTTGGCTGTCGGTGAATGTTGATTTTGTTGGGAAGGAGTGGGCGAATGTGGGTGTGAGGTTATACACTGGAATTTCGATACAGCTAGCTGGGTAAACAATCGTTAGCTACCGCCGGTTTGGAATACAGAAGAATATGAATACACTTGGCATCCTCTATCAAGCAAACCGGTGTAAGCACGGCCAATGTGAGGACTCGATGAAGCAAATATATGAGCACTCCAACACTCCCCGCTGAGCCACCGCGCAGCCCCTCCGTCCTTTAAAAAGCTATGAGATTGGATGTTCAGAGAAGGACGAACTCGACGATGATCCCCCCACTCACTTTAATGCAGGTCCCGCGTTCGTCGAGTGCACTCATAATGGATGGCAGCCTAGCGTCAATCCAATCGGCGCGTTCGGCACTAGCAGTGGACGTCATTCTCTCTTCGTGAGCCCTGTTGGTGCTATACAGAACTGACATACTAGAAAGTCGAGCTCAGCTACCAGAGACAGTAAGCCGCCGAGGATTGAGAAAGACGAAGGCAAGAGACAGAGAGAGGTCGGAAAAGCCCAGGCACGTGCTTGCATCAGGTGGTGTTGATACTATTACCACCTCGTGGCATAATTGGGGTCTGGGCAGTGGGTTTGGGCGCCGTCCTTTCTTTCCCTCCCTCATCTTGAACCTCTCCATCTTCGATATCTCAACATGAGCGGAGCGAATCTCCTTGCGGGCGCTCACCACTTCGTTGCTAGCAACAACACATTCTACGAAGCTAACACTGTGAGTGGAATGTTTACTAAAGGTATCTGTCAACTGATGGCGGAATCTGTTGCAGATCAACATCCACCACAACTACGGCAATACAGCAACGTCCAATGAGGTCATTTCCCTCATGCCAAATCCGAGCATTCGGTTCACAGGGCGTGTGGAAATCATCGCCAAACTCAAGAGCCATTTTTTCACAAAAAACACAAATGATGGAGTTCAGAAGAGAAAGTTCTTTTTGTTATATGGAATGGGGGGTATTGGAAAGACTCAGATTTGCTTGAAGTTTGTTGAGGACATGGATGACAGGTGAGCACCTATCAAGCACCAGTCTGACTGTTGCTCAAATACAGTTAATTTGCTGCCAGCTTCTCTCAAGTTTTCTGGGTTGATGCATCATCCTCAGGTACCATCTTACAGGCACTTAAGGGTATCAGTCAATCTTGTGCACTGGATGGCTCCCCTGAGTCTGCTCTGCTTTCTGTTTACCTCTTGCTATCGATCAGGCTGGTGCTTATATTGCTTCTGGGGCCACCACTATTGGAGACTACCTTGCAAAATATTCAGAGCATCGAAAAACATTGTTATCCCATTCTGAATTTACTGGAGCTTCTAAGTATAACAGAACTGTCTATGAAACTTGGGAACTATCATACCAAGAAATTCAGCAAAGGAGTGAATCTGATGATTCTCATAAGGTTAATGCAGCCAAAAGTGCAATGCTCCTTCTGGGTTTACTCCCTTTATTCCATCATAAGGGAATCACTGAAGAAATCTTTTCTTATGCTGCTCTTACAGAAAATAAGGAAGCCTCTAGCCTAAAATTACCCCTTGCTAGTTCTCTGCTGGACCGGAGACTACTTCCTCTCAATAAATCAGGTACTTGGGATAACTTTGTCTTTAGAGAGGGACTTCGGATATTACTGTCATTCTCCTTGATCAAGAAAGGCCCATCTGATTGTGTATATACCATGCATCCACTGGTTCATTCCTGGGGTAGGGACAGATTGACTTTAAATGAGAGGAAAGAATGTTGCTTAATGGCATATGTCACCTTGTCTTGTTCACTAAGATGGGATGAAGGCCAGCCATATGGATTCCAGAGGACCTTGGTAACACATGTGAGAGCAAATATGGATCATTTCAAATCAGAAAGTAGTGAAAATATTGTCAGCTACATGGATGATGCCTATGCAAAGTTTGGGAGGCTGTTGTGGGAACAAGGATATTATGTGGAAGCAGAAACCTTGGATAATAAAGTTCTAGATACAAGGAACAGAATTCTTGGGGTGGAAAACCAAGATACAATCACAGCCATGTCAAATCTTGCAGCAACATATCGAAGCCTGGAAAAATACATAGAGGGAGAGAAGCTGGAAGTCCAAGTTTTGGATGCAAGGAAGAGAATTTTTGGACTGGAACACTCTGACACCATCTCAGCTATGGCAAATCTGGCAGCAACATATCGAAATATGGGAAAATTCACAGAGGCAGAGAAGCTGTTGAACCAAGTGCTGGATGCAAGGAACAGAATTCTTGGGAGTGGAACAGCCACACACAATGCATGCCATGGCATATCTAGCAGTAACATATCAGAACATGGGAAAATTTACAGAAGCAGAGAAACTGCAGATCCAAGTTCTGGATGCAAGTAACAGAATTCTTGGAATGGAACAGCCAGACACCATTACAGCTATGGCAAATCTAGCAGTAACATATCAAAACTTGGGAAAATTACAGAGGCAGAGAAGCTGCAGATCCAAGTTCTGGATGCAAGTAGCAGAATCCTTGGAATAGAACATTCAGATACCATCACAGCCATCACAAATTTAACAGTAATGTATCAAAACTTGGGAAAATACATGGAGGCAGAGAAGCTGCAGATCCAAGTTCTGGATGCAAGTAGCAGAATTCTTGGAATAGAACATTCAGATACCATCACAGCCATCACAAATTTAACAGTAATGTATCAAAACTTGGGAAAATACATGGAGGCAGAGAAGCTGCAGATCCAAGTTCTGGATGTAAGTAAAAAAATTCTTGGAATGGAACATCCAGGCACCATTACAGCTATGGCAAATCTAGCAGCAACATATCGAAGCATGGGAAAATTCACAGAGGCAGAGAAGCTGGATATTCAAGCCCAGGAAACAAAAAGCAGAGTTCTCATCTTCACACAGTGAGGACCATAGCCAATGTCTGAGAAGCCTGGGAGACTCAAGTTTTTGATGGAAGCAACACAGTACCTGGAGAAGAATACTTTTATTCAACACAGGTTGTTTTGGACCCTGCTTTACTTGCTATTCTGCCAGATGCAATAATGAAGGTATATAGTGAAATCAATTTTCTTCAAACCATCTGTATGATTAGTGTATTGTCTGTTCAACCTTGCAAAGAGAAAATTTACATCCATATAGCACATTTGTTTCCAAAAAAGAATGATTTTGATGACTTTGTGGGAACCAGTACATACAATCTTTGCCATGTTGAACCTAGCAGCAACATATCAAGACATGGGAAAATACATAGAGGCAGAGAAGCTGCAGATCCAAGCACTAGATGCAAGGAACAGAATTCTTGGGGGTGGAACACCCTGATACAGCCACAGCCATGGGAGCTCTTGCAGTAACATATGGAAACCTGGGAAAATACATAGAGGCAGAGAAGCTGGAGATCCAAGTGCTGGATGCAAGAAACAGAATCCTTGGGGTGGAACACCCAGATACAATCATTGCCATGTCAAATCTAGCAGCAACATATCAAAACATGGGAAATTTCACAGAGGCAGAGAAGCTGGAGATCCAAGTTCTGAACAAAAGTAACAGAATTCTTGGGGTGGAACACCCAGAAACAATCTTATCTGTGGGACATCTAGCAGCAACACATTATAGCCTGGGAAAATACATACAGTTGAGTGCAAAAAGAATGAAGGTTGGTTCATTTTTCTGGTTCTTTCTAAGAATCTATTGTACCTCAAATGTATTTGTGTATTCTTTTACATTATGTAGTTGTGTTACACTTCCCTTGGTATGGACTAATTTCAGTGAAAGCTGGAGCCTTGAGAAGGTTTTTATTCTGGAGGCCATTTTTGGCATCTGAAAAAAAAAATGTGCTAACTGAGGAGGTAGCCAGAACATACCTCTGGTCAACCTGAATGAGTGTATTAAAGAATTAGTTAAAAATACAGAGTGGTTATGCTTGTAGAGCCTCCAGAAAATGGTCATTTTGTGCTATTTTGGTCATTTTTGGCCTGTTTTAGACAAAACAAGCTATTTTCCAAAGCCTGTACAGACCTAACCACTCAGTATTTTTGACTGATTCTTTGATAGGCTCATTCAGGTTGACCAGAGGTATGTCCTGGTTACCTCCCCAGTTAGTGCATATTTTTTTTTTCAGATGCCAAAAATGGCCTCCAGAATAAAAACCTTCTCAAGGCTCCAGCTTTCACTGAAATTAGTCCATACCAAGGGAAGTGTAACACAACTACATAATGTAAAAGAATACACAAATACATTTGAGGTACAATAGATTCTTAGAAAGAACCAGAAAAATGAACCAACCTTCATTCTTTTTGCACTCAACTGTACAGGCAGAGCAGCCGTAAATCCAATCTGAATTCAAGTAACAGAATTTATGGAGAGAAACACCCACAGACAATCAATGCCATGCAACATCTACAGTCATCCACCTGCCAATGATACACCCAAAATGAGAAATTAGCTTCAACAAATTGAGAGCAGCCTTTCTCTACAAAAACTATATGAAAATCTCAGATAAATGCCCTTCTATGACCATACCAAATTTCACAATGTTTGACCCACATTTCATGGAGATAAACTAAGATTATGGGTGTATCATTGAGGGGTGTGGCTGTATTTGGCTATTTCTGAAAAACAGTCCATTTTGTATGCTCCACAGCTTTGCCAATTCTACCTCAATTGCATCCAAATTATGTACAGCGGTAGATATGAGTTTGTACTACTCGTTACAACTTGTTTTGTAAAAATCGGTCTAGTATTGAGCGAGATATTTGCTAGTCAAAAGTGTATCAAATGGGGGTGGTGTATCATTACGGGGTGGATGACTGTAGCAGCAACATATCGAAAGAGGGGAAGAATCCCAGAGGCACAGAAGCTTGAGATCCAAGCTTTGAGATGAAGCAGTGTTCTTGAAGTGAACATCTTTACACAATAAGGACCATAGCAAATGTCCACAATGCCTAGGAGATCAAGTTCTTGAGCAAGCAGCACAATAAAAATTGCATTCAATACAGGTTGTTTCTGAACCCCTTTATTAGCTGTTCATCAATGCAATAATGAATCCCTGCAAAAAGGGTATACAGTGAAATGAAATTTTCTTTAAATTGTCTGCCATATTTGTATGATTAGCTACCTCACCCTGAAAAAACAATTTCAAAATTCAAATCCGAAATAGCACATTCAAAAGAATGATCCTGATGACTTTTTTGAGAGCTACATACTTGAATTTTCACCTACTGCAATGAGTCTGTACTTTTTCATAATATTTTTCCTTGTACTTATGTCTTGTTATCTTTTTCAATCTGATATTTTTATTTGATTTTTTCAATCAATGATTGGGTTAGTGTAAGTACAGTGGCACTCAAAAGAATTGCACCCCTGTGGAGCCCAGATGTCAAAAGATTACTAATAACTTGTCTCCACGGGGAGCGCCATTCTTTTGAGCACCACTGTATATCCAAAGTATTTCAAACTTTGCTGTCCCATGTTTTATCTCTGCAATCATTCAGCCCCTCAACCACACATGTGAGCCCTCCAATTTAATGCACTCACCAACTACTAATGTGCCCTACTGGCCACTGCAAGTTGCCTCAATTATCAACATATCCAAAATAATAGTTTTTTTCTCCAAAGAAAACAAAGAAGAAAAGAGAGGCTCAGCACTTACAGTTGAGTGCAAAAAGAATGAAGGTTGGTTCATTTTTCTGGTTCTTTCTAAGAATCTATTGTACCTCAAATGTATTTGTGTATTCTTTTACATTATGTAGTTGTGTTACACTTCCCTTGGTATGGACTAATTTCAGTCAAAGCTGGAGCCTTGAGTTCTGGAGGCCATTTTTGGCATCTGAAAAAAAAAATATGCGCTAACTGGAGAGGTAGCCAGAACATACCTCTGGTCAACCTGAATGAGCCTATCAAAGAATTAGTCAAAAATACTGAGTGGTTAGGTCTGTAGAGGCTTTGGAAAATGGCTTGTTTTGTCTAAAACAGGCCAAAATTTACCAAAATGGCACAAAATGACCATTTTCTGGAGGCTCTACAAGCATAACCACTCAGTATTTTTGACTGATTCTTTGATAGGCTCATTCAGGTTGACCAGAGGTATGTTCTGGCTACCTCCCCAGTTAGCACATATTTTTTTTTTCAGATGCCAAAAATGGCCTCCAGAATAAAAACCTTCTCAAGGCTCCAGCTTTGACTGAAATTAGTCCATACCAAGGGAAGTGTAACACAACTACATAATGTAAAAGAATACACAAATACATTTGAGGTACAATAGATTCTTAGAAAGAACCAGAAAAATGAACCAACCTTCATTCTTTTTGCACTCAACTGTACTAAGCTGATTTTATAAGGGTATGGAGCAAAATGTTTTAACTTTCTTTTCTGGTATATTCTGCAAACAAAAGGTGTATTTAAAATTTATTGATTTCTACAGTTTTTTTTCCTCACATGTTTACATAAATCAGTGCCCAGGAAACAATAAATACTTGCCCAATATATCTGGAGTATAACATTTATTAATTTCTACACACAATTGATCTGCATAAGCCAATGCCTGTGGTGAGAGAGGGGGTGGAGTGGATGCATGGTCACTAAGGTTGCTGGTTCACCATCGTACAGGGCTAGTAATGGAATGAATTCCCTTCCCTCTACTCATCCTCTGAACCTGAACCTGCTTCGCCGTCGTCGTCTGGTAACGATAAACGTATCAGCATCAGCGTCGAACTCTCAATCATGTGATTAAGAATGAAAGGATGAAACAGGGAAAGGGAGAAGAGATGAAAGTAAATACGGACCACTCGCAATATCATCCTTCGAAATACTACTCTGCGCCTGCGACCTCCGTATCAGCGTGCGCATCTCCGTGTCGCCCGATGGGATGAGGTCGAGGACTATGAATCCGTTCTTGTCTTTTATCCTGTAGTTGGAGGTGATGTTAGTTTATTGGTGATAAGGAAGGTTATGGAAGGGGGGCGGCGTGGATGGGGGTGGAGGGTAGGGGGAAAGAAAGGAAGAAGGTAGGGGAGGGAGGGGAGCAAACGATATCGCAGTACGTCAGGTTACGAAGGGGGAGCGGGGATGGGATGGGATAAATACGGAGGGAAGTATAGAGAGACAGAGAGAAACGCACAAAGTATCAGCACCGGCATCTAACAGACTCTCAACAACATGTTTGCGCAGCCCAGGATGGTCCAGTTGAACAGCGAGGTGGAGGGGCGTAGCGCCGTCGATACGGTTTATAGGGTCGACGTCGCATCCTTCCTGTGAGAGGATGTGTTCAAGGACGTCTGTTGAGCCGTTTATCACGCTGTTGTTGGGACATCGAAGTAGGTGTTAGCAGATCGGAAGAAAAAACAAAATCAAGAGGCGCACGCATTATGTAGAGCTAATCCAACAATAATTGCCGATCGTCATCGCGAGTGTGTGGGGAGAGGGAACGAACGACAACACACGGGTATTTCCTAGGCTGATTCTCATCAGATTTCCGTCCTCGCATACGGCAGAAATGACCTGGAGAACTCACCCATCTTGGCAATTGATATCAAAGGTCCCTTCCTGCCCCAGTACCTCAAGTAAGAGCTCTTCGTTGTCTGTTCGTGCGGCTGCTAACAGGCGTTCGTCTGTAATCGCATGATCGGTAAGAATAAGAAGGCAATGAATGAGAGTGGAAGCTCACTATTGCTTGCGCCTTTGGTGTCGCCGTCGGATGCGTCCATAGATTGGTGAAAGTGTGAGCAGACCAATCTCGGACGAGATGCATCATGCCTGAACAAGCCTCTCAATCATATTCCCACGGCACACCTCTCTCTCTTGGTGCTCGTCGTCGTCGTCGCCAACGACAGCGGCCAAGACAGCAGCAGCTTCCGCGACACCTTCCCACCTTCAGCGACATCTACTTTATTAACGATTTCTAACGATATTAACACTTATGCTTACGACACACGACATGTATGACCCCCATCTCGACACTCTGCCTCCCCCATCTCAGTTCCGTCGTCCTTGGTCCCCAGAAACTTATGACCCCTTGCCGTCGACCTCGACGACGATGGATAGCAGGGAGGCGTTTAATCGTCTCCAGCGCGATACCTTTAACCAGCTGCAGCGCGAAACATATCAGTACGAGAATGCGCGGGATGAATATCCCCCTCTCTCGCAAAGAGACTCTAGGGGATATTATCCACAGGAAGAATATCTTCAAGAAGAATATCCTCAGGAGGAATACCCTCATTCCTTTCCTCAAGTAGGGCACCCTCCTGTTCAACCAGATTACTACCCCCGCCTCCCGCACCGTGCACAACGTAGAGAAGCATCGGAAACGTCTGTCGACGCACTCGATCTCGCAGACTACGCACGTACCCTTCGCGTACGACAAACGGAGGATCCGTACCCACCGTTCAACCGCCCCTCGTATGCTTCCCCATCCTCCTTCCCATCACTCCCAAGAACGCATCAAACCCCACCGTGGACAAGCCCAAGTCGACCACCGAGCCTCGTTTCACGGCCGACGCTCACGTCGACGGCTACGCATTCAACGGGTACGCGTAATCCACGTAGTAGACGAAGACCGACGTCACTACCACCGACTCCGCACGCTAGCGCGGTCAATATCGCAGACCAAGAACACCCAGAAATCGACATCTCCCAGTTCCCTGCTTGGTCTCGAAGCTGGTACCATCCCCCACCCAACAACAACAACATCACCCCACACCACCACTTCGACGATCCAGACATCTACACACCCATCCCTCCATCCCACCTTCACAATTCCATGCGTAACAAACCGATCTTCGACCCAACTTACGTCCCCGACCACCTCCCCTGGGAGCTCCCTCCCCACTCCAGCTCCTCGCACCACAACCCAACCTCCTCCCGCGAATTCGTACCATGGGGCTCCGACCCACCCGAATACAACGCCACGCCACTCAACCCCCACCTCAAAGAAGAGCGCCTCCGCATGCTCGAGCGCGAATTCGGTACACACAAACCACGATCAAGCGATTTCTTGGACGAGCACGGCAAACCACTCATCGGGACCGTCGACGCGAAAGGCAACCTCGTAACCCAAGGCCCGAAAAAACGGTTTGCGCTGAGGATGTTACAGATCGTTTTGGCGGGGACGGCGGCGGTTCCGAGTATATACGCTGCCATCGTCATTAAACAACCTCATCCGGGCGATCCACCTCCACCCGCTAACAAACCCGCTGCCTTCGTTTTATACATCCTCTCCGTCCTCACGCTCCTTCTCCTTCTTTATCTCTTCATCTTTCGACCATGTTGCTGTTCCCCACGGAAAAAAGGGAAAGACATGGGGAACCCATTATTAGGGAACGGAATGATGGTCCTCCCCGTTCCTGGGGGGAACAAGAAAGGCGGAGGCGGCGGTAAACGGGGGAAGAAGGGTGGGAAGGGCAAAGGAGGAGGAGGAGGGGGAGACGTACAAGTCAACCTCATCGTCGACCCACACGCCTTCAATTTCGACCCCGACCACGACGAGGAAGGTGAAAGCGACGACGACGACGACGGCGGTATGCCAGGCGGTTTTTCCGTTCACAAGCCACGCAGTAAAGGCAGGGGAAGGCATCAACGCAGGCGCGGGATCCTTGCTGGGCTAGCGATGGAAGAATCATGGCGCCATGCACGCGGGTGGGCGAAGAAGCTTGCGATAGTTGACGTGGCGGGTGTAGTGTTGTGGGGAGGCGCGTTTGTGTTGATTTTGTTGGGTAAGAGGTGTCCTAGTGGTGCGTTTTTGGGGTGGTACGTCTTTTTTCTTATCTTCTCTGTCTCTCTTGTTGGTCGAGGGCGTGATGCTGACGGATTCCCTTCATTTGCATGAATACAGGTGCAACGCATACAACGTCTCCTCAGCCGCTGCGTGTCTTTTATGCATCGCTTTCGGGGTTAGTGTGTTTTTTGATGTGAAGGATCTACATGCTAGTAAGGTATCACCACGGACTAGATGATGGCAATGCATTCATCGACCTGATCTCTCTTTGTCGAACGATGGACTGTATACTTACAAATTGTACATGCACGAGAAACATAGCACATTAACCCCAATTGAGATGATAGCCAGAGCAAGTGCAACATGTTTTTCTGGGCTGGAACACTGAGGACAGGCTAATAATTATGGAGGGTAATACCCCCTTCCACAAAGAAGAAAGTCATTTGAAAAATTGAACATTCCCCCTTGTAAAATTCAGAGAATACCAAATCCTGCACATGTTTTATGTGGCATCATCAGGACAAAGAGTCCTTTCTCAGAAATTTCCACTCTTTCCCGCCCTTTCATCAGTGTGTATCAATTTTAAAAACAAAGCATCCCTTTGCTCAACCTTTGCTTCAGCTTTCCTCTCAATTTTACTCAATGGTCTCAAGGGGGTGGTGGAACGTGGATTTTACATATACAGTCCCAAAAGAAATTAGAGCACCCTCGCCCTACCCCCCCTCCCCTAAACCCCCCCAAAAAAGGAAATTTTCTGACTTCCTATGTCAAAAACATATCAATCAGGTAATACAATACATTTTTTATGAAAGTTTTTAGGTGATGGATTCCAGCACAAAAGGGCATTTGCTTGTATTTGACCCTCACTGTAACCTTACCCCTGAGGTATAGCTATACCCAAATGTTGCAGAACATGATCTGGATAGCGAGGATGCATACACCTTGCAGTAACCATACAGTTTCCGATGCAAGATGCGAATTAGGTGTTTGCAGTGCATCTGAACTTCTTTGTAAGTGTTTGGGCTTATTGGAAGGGCTTTTTAAACATAGGTCCCAAAAAAAAAATTAACCCCCTTGGCTGACCCCCCCCTAACCCTATATATAGGATGCACATTCTGCCACCCCCTTGAATGGTCTAACTTTTACTTCAATATCACAAACATTGAGAAGACCGTGACACACAGGGGTGAGGAATGTCACATGCATGATGTGCAAGCTGAACAGGTGTGTGAACTTGGCATGAACCACACCTAACACAGTAACACTTGAGACAGATTCCAATTTGCAACTCAAGTGAAGGCACCTCCATAATTGTGGGCACAGTACTTTACAGTGCCCCACCTATTTCTGCAGGAATCCAGTCATTCCAGTGGAATAGGACTGGAATCAAACAGAACAAGGTTGAAAACCATGTAAATTTACCAGTCCTTCCAACCTTATCCTGATGACTTAGTACATTCTCAGACTTACAAAATTCACATCTAATGAAGTCATACATCAAATTGCAATGTATTTAAATATATTTGAATAATGACATGGGGTGTATTTTACTACATACTACTACATAGAGTCTATATTGAAGGAAGGGGGAAGGGGGAGGGATAAGGAAAGGGAGGGACAAGAACAGGGGAGGGAGAAGGAAGGGGGAGGGACAGGGAACAAGGAAGGAGGAGGGAGGGACAAGAAAAGGGGGAGGGATAAGGGACAAGGAAATGTGGTGGGGCCAAGCACACTTGTCGTCGTGCATAGGGTGGTGGAGTGTGCATGCTTGTTGTCGAGCTGGGTGCTGGCGTTGTTTCATGGGTGCTGGGCATTGTTTCATGAACAGTGGGCATTGTTTCGTGGGCATGTTGTTGTGTTGTTGTCATCACATTGTCATTGTTGCATGTTGTGTGCATGTTGGCGTGGACGTGGACAGTTGTTCACTTTCCGCCTCAAACTTTAATCCCAAAAAGGGAAACCAACTTATTTTTAGAAATGTTCCCTCAGTGATTTCATCGAAGGTTTGTGGCTCGACACTGGGTTTTTTAAGTTTCCCTGCAGCTTCAAAAAAGGAGGAGGAGAGGAGGGACTCTACACAGGAATTCCAGTATTTCAGTGTAACTATGTAGTATACATGATGTACATATCTTCAATCAAGATGTTGACGCTGTTGTGGAACTCGAGCATTCAACTGCTCTACCCTCCAATTCATAATTCCACGAGGCACTGAGGTCCCTCCTTGCTGCTTCTCTTCGCTCTACCCTCGTGACCCACCACCAGAAACGAGACACCACTCACGCTGTACCATTCTTCCAAGTGGTTCGTTCGACGATGGGGGGGGGGGTATTTTCGTATGCGAGGCTTTCATGACGGCAGGCGGGTTCTTGTTGCGACGGTTTTACGTGATGGTGAGGGGCTAGTATTTTCGTATGCGAGGCTTTGATGGCGGCGGTTATGTCAATTCGTTGCGCGAGGCTGAAAGAATGCTCATTAGTAGTAACAGTAAGGAATGCAGGGAAGCCGGCGAGATACCTTGACATTGTCTTGGGAATGGGGTTGGCAAGCTCCTGGAGCTGTGAGCAGCCGTCGTTGAGTTGGAACCTTGGAGGGCAAGGGCGAGCAAGAAATCATGACACCAAATATCAGTTTGTTTGGCCTCCGCTTGATTCTAAAAATAAGGTGACTTCCCGTTTTGGGATTAAAGTTTGAGGCGGAATCTCAAAAGTGGACGTGGACATGTCACCATGGATGTCCTTGTGTTGGCGTGGTCATAGGGGTCGTGGACACTGGGCAGTGTGGTGCTGTCATGTGTTGTGTGGGCAGTGGGTGTTTTTCGATGGGCAGTGGGTGTTTTTGGTGGGTGCGGGCGTTTTTTGGTGGGCAGGGTGTGATTTTTGTGGGCACTGGGCGTTTTCGGTGGTGCCACGTCATTGTCTGGATGGTGGTGGGCCACATTGTTGTTGTTGTCTGTTGGTTGACACATTGTGGTGCACCTGGACTGTGAGTGGTGGGGGGCTAGGGAGCTGGGACTCACCTGCACGTTGTCACTATCAGACGACACGTTGCCTGCGTCGCCTGGACCTCACACACACTCCGTCCATTGGTGGGTTGTCATTGATGTGATGCAATGTGGCGTGGTCATGGTTGCTGGTCAATGTGGTTGTGGTTTTGTGGTTTCTGGTCAATGCAATCACTGTGGGCGGTGGTGGCAATGGGTGATGAGCATGGTTGGCGGCGATGGTGGTAGTAGGAAGAAGAGTGGCTGTGTTTGGTGAGTCTGGGTTGCCAAATAATCATTGTTTGGCATCAGTCATAAATAAATGAACTATAATTAGTAACAAATACAACAAATAAACAATGGATTCAATGAAATACTGTTCCTGCTCATTCTGGGGAGGACCATTCCTGCCCATTCTGGGGAAGACCATTCCAGTGTAAATTCCGGAATAATCAGATTCCACTGGAATGAGAAAACACTGGAATGACTGGATTCCTGCAGGAATAGGGGGGGCACTGATAAGACCTCTTGTGGGCACTTGTACTAAGTATCAATGAAATAGCATGTTAGCTCAGTGTTGTGCAAAGAGAACAACCAATATATTGGTACCTAATGAAATAGCATGTCTAGGTACCAGTAAGTAATGATATAAATGAAAGAGAAATTGAATGACGTACTAGCTCAGTGTTGTGCAAAGAGAACAACAACTGAGTGTGACAAGTGTGATGCATCAGTAGATAAAGTCCAAGAATTGAAAGGAGAATGTAATCTAAAGGTCAATTTCTAACACTCCCACTCATTCGTGGTTTCAAACTGAGCATGGAAATGAACCACATATGTTTCTCTCCAGTAATACCCTTCGTTAATACCATATCCTTTGTTGGAACATAATCAAGAAGAATTTGACCATCTTCGAGCCTCAGCAAAGTGAATGAAGTGATAGCAAAGTTGGATGTGTTTGGTGCAAGGATGATTGCCAGGATTCTAGAGTCTGTTCAGCTGCCAAACCTGCCCAGGTTTTCGGAAAACCTAATTACATTATATAGTACTTAATACTGAGAATTTACACGGATTCGGTCACGTGCTCTTGGGATTCCACCTGCTGACACACCTTCTTTGTTTGTGTTCCTGCCAGCAGCCAAACAGCTGCACCTTGGGGTGCCCGCTCATCGTCGTTGACGCTGCCCGCCCTCTTCCCACGCACTTACCTCGCCGATGAAGAGCGCTGCCTGCAGACCTGGTCTGCTCCTTGGCCTGGAAGCTTGGAACGGAGGAGATCGTGGGCTGCATTCTTTAATCTACCCTTCTTTTGTCTCTAACATGTACTTCGACATCAGTCAGTCCATCAGAACATTTGTGAAAGGACGCGTGCCTCCTTGCAGCAACGCGCCCTCTTTCCTTTCGTCAACCTGCTTCCTCACATTGTCGTCGTAAGTGTTTAGTGTTTAAGATATATGTATACTATGTTGTTTGAAATGGTGAAGAGTGTACTCGTTGACGTGCACACCAAATAGAACCAATGTGTCGCGTCGCGTCTGTTTTATAATGTAAAGTGGACCATCTATTAGAATAGTATATATACAAGGCTTTCTCGTCTGAAGGGGGATCCCCATCATCTGTGTTGTAAATACAGATGCACACAGGAATTAAGACACAGGAAACCAACAGGAAATAGGTATCAATAAGGTGGGTAAGTAGTGGTAAGAAGCCGTAAGAACTTACTCTCCCAGAATTTACAGTAAATTGGGTTCAATTTACAGGGATTTACAGTGAGCTGGCACAGTCCAGGAGCCGAATGGTTGAAATTACAGTGAGCTGGACCCTGGTGATTGATTCACAGATTTATCCTTTGCCAAGCATTCTGTCCCTGTAAAATCTCAAGTCCCTTACCATGCCCATTCAGACCTTGGCACTCCCTTCTTCCAGAGACTTATAAAAGACAATGTTAGATTATTCAATTTATTGAGCTACATATGCTGCTTCTACACCATGTATAGATACCCCAACAGCAAAAAAAACCAACGTCATCTCACCCTGTACAATCTGAAAGTTAATAGAGTGCCTTAGTTTATGATCGCTGTCAGTGGTGCGCACAGGCACACTGTCGTCAAAATCTCTGAATGTGAACAAGTTGCAAGCCGACAATGTTAACGTGGTGGTGGGGACATTAGCACCCGATATCAAAACAATTTGAGGCATAGTGATGGAGGCACGTAGTACTATGTCAATTTCACAATGATAAGCAAGGACCATCATCTGAAGAAATAAAAATGACACTTACTGTAATGTCGACAAGGCAACCAAGGGACAGGTAGGCCAAATCCTCAGAGTCAACGTAGATTGCAAGACAGTGCTCGGTGAAGTGTGTGGCGCAGCTGCAAAAGAGGGGGGGGGGAGCAGACGACCATGGGCTGCATCGCTGCTGATGCAGGAGCAAAGTGCGTAGAGGAAGGGGGGGCGTGAGGATGTGCAAATTACAATAGTCCGTGTCATAAGTCAATGCAGTGTGTCACCAGAGAGGATCGAACTTGTTTTCAAGGGTTTTCTTGACACTCAGGTGGCTGTGCATTGTTCGAAACCTGGCTATATTCATCTTGGAGGTGGAGGGTGTTAATGAACGCGTGTATGTTTGAGGTGGAGTGGAGGACGATGGTGTGGAGGAAAAAGGGCATCATTACCTGCCTCACAGGGTATGTGACAGAGGCGAGGGAAGGAGTATGAAATTCTTGTGCAGCTAATGGAAGCTGGTTAGCCCGACACTGTTGATGAGGGTGGCCATAGCCTTGTTGTAGAACCAAGTCTGTTTTGAAATCAATAAAGAGAAAGGGTCAATGCAAGTTCGAGAGTGTAGTCAGATGAATCACATACCACCGTTCATGTAAAAGGATTGGGTCTCCTTTTCAGACTCTTTCTCCCCATCTACGCTCCATTAACAGTGGCAGCATTGGCCTTCTCCATCGTTGTAGTGTCTTAACTGGGCAGGCCCTGGAAGGCAATTTTGAGGCAGTGGAGGCCGATGCAGCTGTGTTTGGTTGGTGTTTGGCAGTGGAAATGAGCAAGGAGTGGACTGGTGGGCGAGTGGGAGATGTGCAGGCAGCGACGAGTAGTGATGCCGCGTTTTTTAGCCGGTAAATTCTTGTTTCGCTTATAGAGAGCGTAATTATTATTTGAACTTTACGTTCTTGGACTCTCCAGATAGATAGGAAGTAGATCTAAATTATAAAAAAAAGAACGTAAAAAAGCATTACGTTTTCGTTGAGCTATTTACGTTTAGCTGGTCGCCAAGTCGCAGCTCAAATGAGCTGGCTTTTTTTCAAAGCCGGTTGAATCTCTCAATCAAATCTCGGTCGTTTTTGGCGATCTTTTTTTTTAAATTTAGGTCTACTTCTCATCTACATGGGAGATCTAAGGACGTAAAATTCGAGTGAAAACTCCGCTCTGTATAAAAGAAACAAAAAATAAGCCGTTAAAAAAACGCGGCAACACTAGCGACGAGTGGTATGGGTAGACTGTAGTAGTACAGGCGGCCCTATGTGCTAATGGAATTGATGGACCATCAAACCTTCAGGGACGTCAAGCAAAGAATCCGGCGGAAGGCGATTTTACAAAATTTATGGTACCCCCATAAATTGGTACGGATAAAGTGACTTCATGTAATCACATCCTGATTAAGCTTTCACGCCGCTGCAAGGCCTCAAGGCCTCAATGCTTTTGCACCATTTTTCTTTCCCTCTCAATCGCTCTTTGGTCCCCGATGCCCCCAAAACCCACAAAGGAAGCGCTTCCTGGACCGCAGACGATATCACTGCACTCCTTGAGTTTCTAATTGCCCACAAATCCAAAGGAGATTCAGGAGGATTCAAGAAGCCCACTTGGACTGCAGCTGCGGCCCATGTCAACAAGGTATTGACTGTGGTGCAACGAAGACAGGTGATGATTGCAAAGGCAAATTTCGGATTGTAAGCCCATTTATTCTTCGTTTTTGAGCACTCTCAAAGCTGTTCCATCCTTTTTAGCTCAAGCAGACGTATGAAGTTGTTAAGGCCATTCGGAACAACTCAGGCTGGTCTTGGGATGACAACAAGGGAGCTGATATCACTCCAGAGAAGAAAGGCACCTGGGACAACTACGTAGCTAAGTATCCACTTGCACAGCCCTTCCAGAATGCAGGCTGGGCCTATTTGGAGGCATTTGATGCTTTGGGTTCATCTTTGGCCAAAGGTGCCCACGTTTTCCAAGCTTTGCAAGGGGTCAGTACAGCTCAGGTTGATAGTGCTCATTCAGATGGTCTCGGTGAAGGGGGTGGTCAGGTTGATGATGCCAAAGTTGAAGGCTCTCAAGAGTGGTCCACGTCCCCTGAGGTGCCTGGTGAACCAGATGAGGTGAGTTTCTTTTGTCTATACAGCATGATCATCTCTTTTAACATAACGGTAGCCATCCACCCCTCCTCAACGTTCATCCCCCCCTGCAGCCAAACATGCTGCAAGTCCTGGTCCATGGACTGACAACAAACATGTGCACATTTCACATGGTAACCAAATTATGAATAGTCTTAGCAAGATTATGAATCATATCACTGACATCATGGAGACTGCCTTTTGTCCATCGACACTCCCAGCAACACCTGTTCGCTTACAAGAAGCCATGACTTGTGCACAAACCCTCAAGAAGAACTGGTTGACATCGATTCAACTTGTGATGTTAATCGACATTTTTGAGTGTGAGCCCCATGCTGCTATAGCCTATCAGTCAATGAAGGACAATGAAGACCTTCGCAAATCATGGATTTGTATGAAACTTCGCATTCTGGTTCCAGTTGTTGATGAGAACAAGTCTTTGTGATCCATAGCCACCCATTAGCCACTTGTTTAATATGTTAATAGTCCTTTTAATATCCCTCCTAGTCACTCATTTGATAACAAAGTAATAATGGTTTATTCTAAAGCAAAATTGTTGCCTCGCTCAGCTAGAATGGCCTGATAACTGTCCCACATTTGTTGTGCAATTTCATCCTGCTTTTCCTTTGCCCGAGCTTTCTCTGCAGCATTTGGTGGACCACGTGCAAGAGTCCCAAAATCCTTCTCAGCTGGTGGGTTTCCTGGATTAGGATCTGGTGTTTCTGAGGACACAATTTCCTCAACCTCCATGGGGTCATGGTGCAAAATGAAATTATGAATTGCAGATGTTGATGGTGGAATATGAGCCTGTATATCCATATCATATTTGGGAGGGTGGGTGAGAATGCTGAAATGTTTCTTTAATGAACCAAAGATCCACTCAACAACATTCCTTGCCGATGCATGCCACAAATCAAACAATTCTTCATGATTGGCAGGACTATATAATGATAATTTCAGATTGATCACAATAGAGAAAGAACTTTTTTCTTTCTTACCGAACAGATGCTCTTCCCCACTCTGCAAGATGATAGCGAACACCTTGGTATGGAACAAGCAGAGAATCACATGCACCAAACCCAGCATCAGCAAGATAATATTTCCCATGAGGAATGGGGAGGTCACTTGTTTGTGCATCGTGAAAGAGGGTTGCATCTGCTGCTGATCCTTCCCATCCACTGAGAACATACTGGAACCAGAAATCAAAGGAGCAGCAACATAGTGTGTTCTGGGTCACACCTCCTTTGTGGTTACAAGAAGCCTGGTGTTCCAATGAAGATGGGCAGCAATTTATGTGAGTAGCATCCATTGCACCTATTGCCCCTTCAAAAAAGGGAAATCACTCTGGGTTATCCAATATAGAAGGGGGTACAGGATCATTGGTGGCAGGTAAAAAAACATATTGATCATAGAAGGCTGGTGATGAAATCACAAATAAGACTTCTTTGAAGTATCTATTGATGACAGATTTCGGTGAGCCAGAAATTTCTAGTCAAATTGGTTCTTACTTTGAGATTGTGTCATTTGAACGTTGAAACTGTTCTCCAACATGTCAGATGGAGAGTCCTGTTACACATGTATAGAGAAAAATTGCAACTTTCTCCCTTAAAGCAACATGTCTGGAGTCCTTCAGCCCACACAAGCACAGCTCAGCCAGCGAGGCAAGAAATACATGAACCCTCATTCCTAGGCAATTCTTAATCCTGTCAGGATGACCATAAACAAGCTCCTCAACCCATTCTGCTCCAGTCAAAGCAGAAGTGTGATAAGGCTGCTTCCAGTACCACTGACTGGCATACAAGGACATGGCAAGTGCAGCACATTGAACCATATACAAAATGGTAGCCAGAAGGGCTCTGCATTGAGCAGCAGGCATTGTACGAGAGCATGGCATTTTTGAAGTAAGCAGTGTTTTGCACGTGCCAACTGTGTTTGCATTCATCACAAACCATCACAAGTTGATTGTTTCCCATGGTACTATATATGGTAACTAGGTTTTCCGAAAACCTGGGCAGGTTTGGCAGCTGAACAGACTCCTATGTGAGTGTGATAGCTTAAAATGTCAGCAAAAACTTGAAGAACCTGTCCACAAAAAATGGCACCTGATGGACCAGTATTGCAGCCTGCAGAAATATTTTATGTATTTTGGAAAAGGACCCCAGACACCCTTTGTCAGCTTTGGTATGATGGTATGGTATGGTATGAGGTCAAATGGTATGGTATGAGATGACATGGTATGGTATGGTAATATGGTATTGGTATGAGTGGGATATGGTATGGGTTTTCCATTCCATCGTACCATGGTATTGGTATGTGCTCATATACCACCCTTGGAATGGGTACCATGGAGGTACCCAAATCAAAGAATTCATATACCTCATAGGTACCCTAAAATGGGTGACTGAAGTGCCATCATCACCCTCCACAATATTGAGGTAAGTAGCCACACTGTCCTCCCCCTTTTCATTTTTCACACTAAATCCAAGAGGCCACATTGTCGTTCGTGATGTGGCAATCATACACAGCTGCCCACAAAACAACAGCCCACCCAAAAACAGTCACCCCCCACCACCCTCTAGTGATGATGATGCCCACAGATGATGCATATCACCTGCAAGAGACACATATGACCACTATGAGAACCCCAACCATTCATGGTGTGTCCACACCCACATCCACAAACCACATCAATGTCAAGATCACTGTCCACAATGCATCTATGACCACACATCCAGATCTACAGCCTATATAGGAAAATGACTGTGCATGTATGAAAATGACCTCCCACTGCCCATGTATGAAGACAACTGCCCACGTATGAAGACAACCACCCATGTACAAAGAGGACTTCTCACATACAAAGATGACCAGTACCCACCATTGTCTCCCCCTCCATAACCTCCTTTCTCATCTCCCTCCCTCCATCACTCCCTTCCCCTCCATCACTCCCTTCCCCTCCATCACTCCCTTCCCCTCCATCACTCCCTTCCTCTCCCTTCTTCTATCACTCCTCTCCCCTTCCTTCCCCCTCCATTACTCTCCTCCCTCCCTTCATCCCTCCCTTCCTCCCTTCCTCCCTTCCTCCCTCCCTTCATCCCTCCCTTCCTCCCTTCCTCCCTTCCTCCCTCCCTTCCTCCCTCCCTCCTCCATCACTCTATCATGCCCTCTCCCTACCACTTTCCCCCCCCTCTCATTAACATTCAAAGTAGTAAAATACATTCATGTAATTCTATTAAATAAATACACTTGAATTTTCCTTGCTCAGATAGAAATGTCATAAGTCACTCTTAGGATTGAGTTATCAGCATAAGGTCAGTAGCTTAAGCTGCATGACATCTGGCTACAGTTGGGATCTTCTGTAGAGGCAAAGTCCATGTTGAAACTGTGTTCAAATCCATCTGGATTCCATGCATGTGGAGTCCAAATGGATTTTCAACAAAGTTGTAGAGTGAGGTCTTTTCCAGATGGAGTTCAGATAGATTTCTGGAGTCCATATGGACTCCATCTAGAATCTGTGGGGGAGAGTAAAGTACACCCAGGTGATTGCAATTATGGTATTAACATCCAATATCTGACTTTCTGTGATCATTGACACTGACATTGACTTAGGATAGAAAAACCATGAAAAACCACCAAGATGTTTAATCTAATTAATAAACACAATGATGTGTTCAGAGGTCAGAACCCCTACAGGACTTGTAGATCTATTTTACATATATATTGACATTGTTTGCTTACTTACGATTATGTTGTGGAATGCTTATATAGAATATTTACTTAGTTATCAACACAGCTGACTTTAAGGAAAGATTTGATGTCATACTCACCCTGCCTGTACCTTTATGTATGACTGCCATATTTGTTTATCTTATAACTGCCTTGTTTATAACTGCCTTGTTGTATATCAATGATACTGCATTTCATGTAATCCCCCTTGTGCATTTATATTAGCCCACTGTCTATCTGAGTTTTCACAATTGGCTCATGCCCTCCAGATGATGCTACTTGGAGTACAGCTCCAAAATATCCTCCTTGTGCATCCACATCTGCCCCATTCTCTATTAAAAGCTTTGCAATTGCCTCATAACCCAAAAATAGGGCTGCATGAAGTGCATTTCCATAGCTTCCTCCTTGTGCATTGACATCTGCCCCATTCTCTACCAAAAGTTTTGCAATTGCCTCATAACCCAGAGTCAATGCTGTCTGAAGTGCATTTTCATAGTGTCCTCCTTGTATGTTCACATCTGCCCCATTCTCAATCAATAGCTTTGCAACTGCCTCATGACCACCAAGTAATGCTGCCTGAAGTGCATTTCCATACTGTCCTCCTTCTGCATTAACATCTGCCCCCTTCTCTATCAAAAGCTTTGCAATTGCCTCATGACCTTTGTATGATGCTGCCTGAAGTGCATTTTCATAGTGTCCTTCTTGTGCATTCATATCTGCCCCATTTTCTATCAAAAGCTTTGCAATTGCCTCATGACCACCAAGTAATGCTGCCTGAAGTGCATTTCCATAATGTCCTTGTGCATTAACATCTGCCCCATTATCTATCAAAAGCTTTGCAATTGCCTCATGACCTTTGTATGATGCTGCCTGAAGTGTATTTCCATAGTATCCTTCTTGTGCATTCACATCTGCCCCATTCTCTATCAAAAGCTTTGCAATTGCCTCATGACCACCAAGTAATGCTGCCTGAAGTGCATTTCCATACTGTCCTCCTTGTGCATTCACATCTGCTCCATTATCTATCAAAAGCTTTGCAATTGCCTCTTGACCTTTGTATGATGCTGCCTGAAGTGCATTTCCATAGTGTCCTTCTTGTGCATTCACATCTGCCCCATTCTCTATCAAAAGCTTTGCAATTGCCTCATAGACCACAAAATAATGCTGCCTGAAGTGCATTTCCATACTGTCCTTGTGCATTCACATCTGCCCCATTATCTATCAAAAGCTTTGCAATTGCCTCATAACCATTGTATGATGCTGCCTGAAGTGCATTTTCATAGTGTCCTTCTTGTACATTCACATCTGCCCCATTCTCTATCAAAAGCTTTGCAATTGCCTCATGACCAAAAAGTAATGCTGCCTGAAGTGCATTTCCATACTGTCCTCCTTGTGCATTCACATCTGCCCCATTCTCTATCAAAAGTCTTGCAATTGCCTCATGACCTTTGTATGATGCTGCCTGAAGTGTATTTCCATAGTATCCTTCTTGTACATTCACATCTGCCCCATTCTCTATCAAAAGCTTTGCAATTTCCTCATGACCAAAAAATAATGCTGCCTGAAGTGCATTGCCATAGCATCCTCCTTGTGCATTCACATCTGCTCCATTCTCTATCAAAAGTTTTGCAATTACCTCATGACCTTTATATGATGCCACCTGAAGTGCATTTCCATGCTTTCCTCCTTGTGCATTCACATCTGCCCCATTCTCTATCAAAAGCTTTGCTATAGCCTCATGACCATCAAGTACTGCTGCCTGAAGTGCATTTCCATAGTGTTCTTCCTCTGTATTTACATCTGCCCCATTCTCTATCAAAAGCTTTGCAATTGCCTCATGTCCATGAATTGATGCTGCCTGAAGTGCATTTCCATAATGTCCTCCTTTCACATTGACATCTACCCCATTCTCTATCAAAAGCTTTGCAATTGCCTCATGACCTTTGTATGATGCTGCCTGAAGTGCATTTCCATGGTATCCTTCTTGTACACCCATATCTGCCCCATTCTCTATCAAAAGCTTTGCAATTGGCTCATAACCCAAAAATAATGATGCCTGAAGTGCATTTCCATAGTGTCCTCCTTGTGCATTAACATCTGCCCCATTCTTTATTAAAATCTTTGCAATCACGTCATGACCCCAAAATACTGCTGTCTGAAGTGCATTTCCAAAGAGTCCTCCTTGTGCATTTACATCTGCCCCATTCTCTATCAAAAGCTCTGCAATTGCCCCATGGCCTTTAGATGATGCCACCTGCAAAACATGCCCATAGTTTCTCTTCACCCATGTATTCACATCTACTCCATTTTTCAACAGACTCTCTGTAACTTTGATCAAACCAGCTTCACATGTATAATACAGTGGTGGCAAGTGTTGAGAAGCATTTTGTGGATCATAAATCTCAACCCAATTAATGAAAGCAAGATTTTCAGGTGTTAGAAGTTTCATCATCAATTTTAATAGAGAAGATTCTTGCAATTCATCATTATGACTAGATTGTGCATGGAATATCCAGTTTTTTGCTGCATACTCCATAAGAGGCAAATCTGCATAATTTCGTGACCTTGGTGTTTCCAATTGCAGAAGATAGGCAAGACATGTCTGAGATATCATAGAATGAGAGAGCTCTGGGCTCAAGCTGAAAGCTTTTATTTTCTTGTCATGATGTCCTTTAACATACTTAGACAAGAGATATTCCTTGATCGAGAAGTGTGCAAGCTTGATCTCATCTGTTTGATGTTTAGTGTTCACTTCAATCCTGTGAAATATCAAGACATACATTCTGATTCAATAACAAAACTGGAGCACATCTTCAAAACATCTGAGATATCATGAAGTTCATTTTCACATTCAAATTGTGGTCCATTTTCAGCTTCAAGATCAACAGTTACAGTTGCAGCAAGTTCTTTCAATGTCATTGGACGAACAGCAAAGCACAACCACAGTAGAAATATTTTAGTGTAGTCATAGTCTCTTTTCTCAATCCCCAGCAAAATTTGATCATATGTTGCATCCAAACCTTCAGGTAGATTGTTCAGCTGCTCTTTAATTGCCTTCCAAGTTCAACATTTCTTAAGTTCCACTAGCTGCAATGCAACCCATCGAAACCTAAATTTAAAGTTAGCGATCACCCTGCCATTGAACCATTAGTTTAATAACATACATTCCATCTGCATGATTGCTCAAAGTCAACTTTATTTCATTCTGAATGTCTTGAGGCCATTTCTGCCTGCCAGTTTGAAGCTCATAGTCAAGAAAGACCTCAATATCATGGTTTTCAGATGAATTAACCATGTCAACACAGTCATAAGAATTAAATTTATCACTGATCTCTTTTTCTGGCCTGCTAGTAGTGATGAAGTGCAGCCTGAGATTTTTATTCTTATGCAAGATGACAGTCTGAACCCAGTCAAGCACCTTATCTCTTTCAGAGCATTCATCAAGAGCATCCAGAATAATATATGCAGAGTTAAAGCCACCAAGAATCTTTTCAAGGACATTATGAAGATCCTCAAGAGATGGTTGCTGATAGCCATTGCCATGGAGAGAATACAAGTCCACCAAAACCTTTGGAACACCATTCCCACATTTTAGTGAGAATTGCCAAATAAGTGATTGAATCAGTTTATCATGCAGCTGTAGTTCCTTTTGAGAATCTCTGCCATCAAAAAAGAAATAAGCAGTTGAAAGAGATGCTTGTGTTTTGGACAGATGATCAATGATGGAAGAGCTAATGAAAATTTTCATTACCTCCATCCTGACACAATAGAGCAGGCAAAGTATTTACCTTGAAATGGTTTTACCACATCCAGCTTAATGTTTGGTAAATCCACAGTCCAGAGCTGTATTTATTGACAGATAACTTACATTTTCCCTTGATCCAGAGAAAGCCAGCCTCTGCCAGCCACTTTGAAAAGCTCCTCCCTTTAAGAAACCATGAGCAGGAGTCTGGCTGACTCTTTAAGATTGTATACGCTGCATTGTAATTTCTAGAACTGTCAGGTGGGGAGAGCCATGCACAAATATCTCTAGCTGAAGTAATAAGATTGGTTAGTTAAAATGGCACAGCTAGAACTGGCATATATATATACCAAGTTGTTTGTCCTCAATCGTCTGAAGAGTAATTGAAATACCCAAATCCACAACTATTGAACAAAATGTTTATTGAGGTCACTAGCATGTTGTGTTTATCACACACCTTGATTGATGACTCGCTGAACAATAACACCTGTTAGAATGGAGGTGAGAGTTTTGAACATGAGATTGTCCAAATTGACCTACCTTGGTTGGGGCCGGTATTTACATTCTGAACCCTCTCAAAATTATTCATAACACCAACTTCAGGGTTAGTTGAATGACCTGCATGGTGAGCTTGCATCTGATATAGACCATAATAATTTATTGTAGAAATTACCCACTGGATCCGCAACGGGAAGGTTGGATAGAGGTGGGGTCGAGATGCATGGGCCAGATTTCAGATGATCTATGTCAGATTGTCAGTAACTTGGAAAAGCAGAATTTCAAGCAGAACAGACCACTCAAGACAGGGAAAGGCTGTTGCAAGGGCTGAGTCACAGGTGGATGTCCAGCCTGGTCGCCTACAATGGATGAAGATCAATATTGACTGGATGCGTGAAGGAGTTGTCAGGTATCTCACCAGTGACAGCCATTCCTCCATCAACCGCGCGGATGGCTGAGGATGGAGTCGTCATGATGAGCGGCGCAGAACTGGAGCGGGCTACACCAGCACCATCGTTCGCAGATCGAGGTATCGGCGACCGCAATCTTGCGGCGTTGTTGCGACTAGACGGCAGTTTCAATGTAGAATCTTTGGGTTGGTTTGACATCATAGACGAGATGGAAGTTGAGAAGGAAGACGAGGCACCTGTTGTTTACGGTGATACTTTCAACCAAACAGATGTCATGTGTCTCCATCTACAACAAGGGCAAACTCCATGGCGTAATCCCAACGAACATCCAAACGCGATTCGCCCAGTGCCTGCACTTTCTCCCCCCGCACTCTATCGATTAAAATTCTACATAAGCCAAAAGTCCATCACGAAGCCATCGTCCATGTCCCACAGCTACTAGGCCCCTCGCCTCGACGTAGACCAAACCTTGGAACCTGCGCGATGGATAGTCGTTAAATCAGAGACGATGCGGAGCGCGCTCTTTTGGCAGGTAGGAAGGGTGGTTACTGCGGTGGGTACGTTATTCTTTTGCGTCTTTGTCTTCGGCACTCTGATTGTAAAATGATGTTCATAAAGCCCCTCGATGTCACCGGCCTCCAAGGCGAAGTTACTTACTCGGACGTTCCCTTGACCTCGACCTCGACCTCTGTTTGTCTCTCGACTTAAAACCACGACCTTTGCCTCCTTCGGACCTTGGGTGCGTTTTCCCATGCAATTGTTCCTTAACACTTCTTGTTCACATATTAGGATGCAAGTACTTCCTTATGAGTACTTCTACACCTCGATGGGCTTCCATTCCTTTGGTTGCGTGCCTACGTGTTTTGCGTTCTATAAACGCACTTTCAAGGTGGACTTCCTTGCAAGAGTCGAGGATCGTGGTCGAAAAAGCACGAGCAAGAGTGCCCCCGCCGCAAAGCCACCTCCTTTCGAACACCCAAGCTTTCGCTGTTTCCAGTATTTAGTAGGTATGTATCATTTGGGGTGACGTTGTATCTTCTTCTCGATATCTATGACTGTAGTGGAAGACGCCACGGATCCGGGATTTACTTTTGATAAACGACTGGTTTGTGTTCACTGTGAAACTATTTGGGGCTGGCGCTCTCGCCAGGAAAACAGGGATGATGGGTGGACGTGCTCGCTCTCGAAATTACTGGTCGGTTCCATCCTTAAGAATCTATCCTGCTCAAATTTCAGGCTAACACGGCGTGCAGCTGCCCCGCTACTCAATCGACTTGGAAGCAACGCCCGATACGCCAGTTGAAGCTTTTCAAGAGCCAAAGCACACCTCTAGCAGCTGCGTGGATATCAAGCATGTTCGGCGGTTACCCTCACCTTCGCTGTCAATCCTCTGGAGCGCAGGACTTCAGTGAATCGGAGTTTGTGAAGCCTCAACGTTCGTTATTAGCTCCGAATCGATTTTAATATGACGACGCTTATTCTACGTGGTTTAGGATGCAAGGGCCTGAGGACTCCTGCAAGACTCAACATGTTCATACCCCCTTCATTGCATATTCCCAAGTCCGAGCCACGCCTTCTCCCATGGACGAACTCCCATCAGCCAGACATCAATAATTCAAAACTCAGGATGGAATCATGGTTTCACGGTTTGAAGGCACCAGCGCCCATAGAGGACGTCTAGAAGTTGAGAAGCGGACGGAGAAGATGGGGCGGATGGGGATGAACACAAAGTCCAGGAAGTCCTGCAAAGCCAAACTCGTGCATCAGGCAATGGCGAGTCTGGTGTCGCCACTACCCCACCTGACGACGACGGCGACGACGAAAGGTTTAAGCTGTCCGCAAGCTTGAAGGTCGCAAGCCCAAGGTCGCTGATCCAGCTCGCAAACCTCGCGCCCCAGCTAAGGAAGCTCAAACACGACCTATCTCGCCAGGCGCTAATGGATGTTGAAGCGCCAGCACCCTCCACGTCGCCTCAGGAAGAGGAAGCGGAAAGTCGTTGTTCCAGCAGCACCATGCTATTTCGACAGCGATGCCTGAAGAGATTTCTGGTTGCAACTTACGTTTCGTCATTTACCAAATGGCCCTTGTCGATTTCGAATTGAGTTGTGCAGGACGGCGACAGGAGATTAAACTTTTTCTTAAGGTAAGCCCAGTCTCATCCTCGAATTCTTGCCTCATAAGATTCTCGTTTACAGTCACTCTCTTACATCGTAAACTAAAGGATCAGGAAAGCTGAATACCACCGACGCTTTGCTGGTCGTTTTTGGGTATCGTCTTCCGAAATGCGACAAACCAACTCTCTGCGCTTATCCACAATTCTGCAAGAAATCCAGTCTTTGCGGAGTGTAGTGTTGGATTCCACTTCTGCGACATTCTCGATCCGGTGAGCCTCACACAACTCAAACATGCGCGTAAAAAGCTCATCATCTCCTTTATAGGCCCGTCCAGTGTATTGGAACTTGTACCTGCCTCCAAACTCGTCGTTTCACGTCAAGGGTGCGGGAACAATCAAAGCGGGTACTCGATCAACGGACGAATAAGCGCATACATACTACGAGGTTCAAACGTCCACAAAAGATTCCTTATTTTTCAGGTTTGCCCTCACTCATAACCTCCCGCCTTGGTGCTCGTCTCACGCGTTCTTGACAGGGTGAAGTCGAGGCAAACACGTAAATGAAACCCGAAACGCCAACAGGGCTGCCTGAATACCGTGAAGACATTGTTGGTATCTCAAAATGCAAAAAGGTTGTCGATGGACGAAACCCTTGTCGAGATGGAGTACTCGTAGAAGGAACGATCAGTTAAGCTGGACAGGCTTCGCCTCGTCGAGAAAGTGAAGAGTACTCTGAAGGCGAAAAGGTAGATTTCGATTGGGGGATGACCACATGCGAGCACTGTTTAGACTTCGGCGGCGGCGTCTGAGGCGGCAGAGGTACCGGTGTGAAGGGGAAAAAATAGAAGCTTGCGAAAGGACATGCGGGAAGAGGGGGAAAACGTATTTCTCTAAGAAGGTTATCGTGATCTATGCCTGTGCCTGTACATAGATGCGTGAACAACTTTTTGTGACATTACTAGTACGTACGTACTTGCTAGCTTGAAGCTTTAGACGTGAGCAAGGAGTGGAACGAGTGAGTACTAATGGGTCGTGTTGGGATCGTGTAAGTAGACCCGTCTCCAACTGAACGAGTGACTTTTGTGATCGCGCATTTACTCACTTACCATGACGTGACGACTCATGTCAGCGTACGTTCCTCGAGCCTGTCTCTTCTAATACTAAAAACTGACGGTAGAATAATGACTGTAGACGTCCTAGGCGCGTAGATCTTGCGTAGATCTTATCCGCGGTTCTCACTCCCACCTCCCCCCACCGGAGTCCGGACTCGCATGATCAAACTAAAGCACACCCCCACCACAAAGAGAATCAACCCGCTTCATTCATCTCATCAAATCAATGGCCGACCAAGTTCTAAGCGCACTAACTTACCTCCACCACCCATCCCGAAGGATCGCACATTGAGCTCATTGATTCCTGACCATCCGTGGAATTGGAGGAGGACGAAGAAGAAGAGACGCAACATGCGAAGGGGAGGAAAAGTACAAAGAGAGAGAGAGGTGAATATTGGAGGTTGAAGCTGAAGAGGAGACGGCACTGACCAATCCATGAGGTCGTCGAAGCTCCAGCAAGCATGCGGTGAATGTGTCATCCCATAGCAAGTCGAGTGCAGCTGGCTCTGCCAGATCGGAGCTCATGCTCGAACGTGGCACGAGAGTGTATGTTACATGATCCTCTTCTCTCGCAAAAACTCTGGGGGATATCATCTTGAAGAAGAATGCCCTCATCACAGCACAAGCCGAGTACCCTCCTGTTCAACCAAACCATTATCCTCACCTCCCCTGGAAAGGTCTGTTGACACACTCGATCCCGCAGACTACGCACCTTCGCACACGACAAACGGAGGACCCTTACCCACGATTTAACCGCCCCTCGTATCTTGCTCGTATCCCAAGCACGCATCACACCCCACCGTACAAGCTCAGGGCGACCACCGAGCTTCATTTCACAGCCGACGCTCACGTCGAGAGCTACGCATTCAACTAGAACACAGAATCCACGTAGTAGGCAAAGACCGGCACCACTGCCGCCGACTTGACACGCTACCGCGGTTACCAACATCCAGAAATTTACATCTCCCAGTTCCCTGCTTGGTCTCGGAGCTGGTACCAACTTCACCCAACGACAACACCCCACAGTGCCCACACCACCACTTCGACGATCCAGGCATCTACACACCCATCCTTCCGCCCCACCTTCACGAAACAAAGCGATCTTCGACCCAACTTACGTTCCTGACCACCTCCCCTGGGACCTCCCTCCCCACTCCACCTCCTCGCACCACAACCCAAACTCCTCCCGCTAACACGTACCATGGGGCTCCGACCCACCGCAATACAACGCCACAACTCTCTCGAGCGTCTCCGCATGCTCGAGCGCGAATTCGGCACAAACAAACGGCGATCAAGCGATGTCTTGGACGAGCACAGGAAACCATTCATCGGGACCGTCGACGCGAAAGGCAACCTCGTAACGTAAGGCCCGAAAAAACGGTTTGTGCTGAGGATGGTGCAGATCGTTCTGGCGGGGACGGCGGCGATTCCGAGTATATACGCCGCCATCGTCATTAAACAACCCCATCCAGGGGATCCACCTCCACCCGCCAACAAGCCCGCTGCCTTCGTTTTATACATCCTCTCCGTCCTCACACTCCTCCTCCTCCTTTACCTCTTCGACATGGGGAACCCATTGTTAGGGAACGGAATGATGGTCCTCCCCGTTCCTGGAGGTGGTGGAGGGGGCAGAAGAAAGGCGGAGGCGGCGGTAAACGGGGGAAGAAGGGCCGGAAGGGCAAGGGAGGAGGAGGAGGAGGAGGGGGAGTTGTACAAGTCAACCTCATTGTCGACCCACACGCCTTCAACTTTGACCCCGGCCACGACGACGAAGGTGAAAGCGACGACAACGACGACGGTGGTATGCCAGGTGGCTTTTCCTTTCCCAAGCCACGTAGTAAAGGGAGGGGAAGACACCAGCGCAGACGCGGGATACTTGCCGGGCTAGCAATGGAAGAATCATGGCGCGATGCACGCGGGTGGGCGAAGAAGCTTGCGGTAGTTGAGGTGGCGGGTGTGGTGTTGTGGGGAGGCGCGTTTGTGTTGATTTTGTTGAGTAAGAGGTGTCCTAGTGGTGCGTTTTCGGGGTGGTACGTCTTTTTCCTTTCCCCTGTCTTTCTTACACTGGTGGAGTGTTTGATGCTGATGGATAACCTTCCTTTGCATGGATACAGGTGCAATGCGTACAACGTCTCTTCGGCCGCTGCATGTCTTTTATGTGTGGCTTTTGGGGTTAGTGTGTTTTTTGATGTGAAGGATTTACATGCTAGTAAGGTATCACCGCGGACTAGATGATGATAGTGCATTCATCGACTTAATCTCTTTTTGTCAAACAATGGACTGCATACTTACAAATTGTACATGCACACAAGAAACATAGCCCAATATCCCAGAGCAAGTGTGACAGCTTTCCAGGCTGGAACATGTAAGTTTCCCTTCATTCAGAATTTCCCTTTTCACAGATTCAGAATTCCCACTACATTACAGTGCTTTGCATTGCCGTTTGCACACTGAAATCGCGAAAATTATGTTTGGTTTTGTATGTTCGTCACAGATTGTCATGCATCAGAACGAGATCTGAGCACTTTGGGAATTTTGTATTTCTCAAACCCAACTTTTGTTGTGCCTCAGGCATCGGATGAGATGTGTGTGCGGATCATTGTTTGCCATGATGAGCAACATCTTTCACAGCAGGAGATTGCAGGCCTTATTGGATGTTGTGTCCGGTAAGCAGTCTCTTACTTCCTGTTTTGAAGGTCACGGTACAACATACACAAACAGGATTTCCAAAACTCGTTGTGCAAATGGCAGTGCAAAGCACTGTAGTAGTGGGTTTTGTGGTGTGAGCTAGATTTGGATATCTTACATAAGAAATTGATCTTTTGTCTTGAACCATCTTGTCAGCAGTCTTGCCATCCTCTTGCACTACATGTTGTTGGAATAATCAAGGTGACGACGTCCTCGCCATCTCCATATCCTCAGATAAATTCCCTTGCTTACATTCTTTTCCCCTTACTCACATGTTCCTTTATATTTCATATTCTTCATCACTCATGATACGTTCCTTGCACGCGTCCAAATGTAATGCGTGCCTTTGGTTACTCCGTAGAACATAAATACTGGACTCTACATACTTCCACCTCAGTCGTTTGGCTTACCTGCGCAAACACTGAGGTGAATATCTTTTACTTACTTTCTATTTCACTTTACTGATTCACCCGTAGTCTACGTTATCTTCGTATAGGTGAATCTATAGTCGTTTGGCTTACCTGCGCAAACACTGAGTCTACGTTATCTTCGTATAGCTAATCTTACAGGTTATTGGGCCCCGCGCACCCTGCCTATTTTTATTGTGTACCCCTTGCACGCTGCTACTATGTCCGTCACCAGCGCTTCGCTCAACGATATCCTCCTGTCGAGTGTTCCAAAGCTCGATACTACTGGCCTCAACTGGGCCGTATTTTCCCTCCGTTTCGAAGACGCCGTCCAGCCTAAAGGGTTCTGGGGTCACTTCTCTGGTACCACCCCATGCCCCACTGCTGCAAACCCCTCTGCACCCACTACTGAGGAACTCGCCGCTATCGAGAAATGGGACAAGGACGAGCGGTCGGCCAGGTCCCTGCTCACCCAGAAATTGCCGGATTCTGCCCTGATGCATGTTCGAAACAAGACGTCAGTTAAGGAACGCTGGGAAGCAATTACCACGGAATTTACCCAGAAAGGCGCGTTCGCGCAAACAGAGCTTCGCGCGCGCTTCTTGGACATGAAGTGCCCTGAGAAGGGCAATGTCCGAGAGTTCCTGGATTCCCTATGTGTGAAGCGTGAGGAGTTAGCAACGGTTGGCGTCGAGATCGACACCAAAGATTACCTTTCTACCATCATTTCATCCCTCCCTGTGTCCCTTTCCAACTTTGCCTCAAACCAGCTCGCCGCCACCAAGCTCTTCCACACGTCAAAGACCATTGACCCTGATGTGTTGATATCCCTCATCTCTGAGGAGTACGAGCAGCAAAAAATTCAGCGGTCACGTCGTTCCAATGGGAAGTCTCCCAAGGACAACGATCGCGATGAAGCTATGACTGCGTCTGCGTCTTTGTCAAAGGGCAGGAAAGCTGGGGGCCGTAACCACAAATATCCTTGTGGTACCTGCTGGGGCTGTGGAGGGGAAGGGCATTTTAGGGATAAATGCCCCAACAAAGCGAAGGACGGAAAGAAATCGAAAGACTCACCAAAAAGCGGCTCTGCGAATGCCGCTGTTGGCGTGAACTCAGACTCCGAATGCGAGGGGGCTTTTGCTGCCGTGGCCGTCACTGACTATGAGTCAGATGACAGCATGCCTGACCTCCAGGCTGTGTCAGACTCTGATTCAGACAGCATGCCTGACCTCAAGGATGTGTCGGACTCCGATTCGGATGACGAGCCTGAGAGTGGCGCCGTTACTGATAGCGACTGGTTTTCTGAGGCAGCGGATGAAGGGACAAGCATTGGAGAGTGTTCTGAAGGGAGCAACTGGGATTTTGACGATTTATTCGAAGATCCCGTGCCAGCTGTTGATGTGCCATTTGCGCTGGAGGACCCTGGCACCCCTGAACACGTTGCGGCATTTGTCAGTGCCAGTAGCAACACATGCAACATCTCACGTACCGAAGTTTATGATTCGGGTTGCACATCCCACATTTCGCCGTACCGAGATGATCTCAAAAATTTTGTTGAGATTCCGCTGAAGCCTTTCCGAGCTGCCAACAAGCAAGATTTTCAGGCTGTTGGCAAGGGCGAGATGGTGATTGACATACCTAATGGTGCCGACATCTCGCAGCTGCGCCTTACGGAAGTTCTCTATTCCCCTGAGGTTGGATACCACTAGTGCCTACCACTTTTATGATAAAACCTGGGCATTTGCCTGCACAGTCTTTTCAATCCCCCCAAGTGAAATATGAAATGAAATGCCTAGGCTATTTCATTCTTGCTTTGCAGCTATTTCATTCCTACCCACCACATTTTTCATTTCTCCTTGGCAATGAAATGCATTTCATTCTTTTGCCTGTGCTTTTTCATAACTTTTTCATTCTTTGCCAACTTTATTTCTTTTCTTTTCATTCTTTGCCAGTATCATTTCATTCTTTTGCCTGCACTTTTTCATAATTTTTTTTCATTCTTTGTCAGTCTTATTTCATTCATTTGCCTGTGCTTTTTCATAACTTATGTATTTGTTTGGTTATGATGGGATCAAAATATAAGACATGTGATCTTTTAGTTGCCTCAATTTACATGTTTATTGCTCAATTAAGTTAGATTATGGCCTCAAATACAAACAAATGTAAAGATCACAAGCCAGGGGTTGATTAGGTCAAACTATAGCTAATAATTTGAGAATACATATGTTTATTATTTACAAACAAATAATGTGTCTAGTTATGAAAAGGCTTAGAGAAGCAATGAAATGAGTTTCATTTTTTTTAAGTGCAACCCTAACCTTAAACATGGCAAACAATGAAATAATAAGTTATGAAAAGGTGCAGGCAATGGAATGAAATAGGACTGGCAAAGAATGAAAAAAAAATTATGAAAAAGCGCAGGCAAAAGAATGAAATGATACTGGCAAAGAATGAAAAGAAAAGAAATAAAGTTGGCAAAGAATGAAAAAGTTATGAAAAAGCACAGGCAAAAGAATGAAATGCATTTCATTGCCAAGGAGAAATGAAAAATGTGGTGGGTAGGAATGAAATAGCTGCAAAGCAAGAATGAAATAGCCTAGGCATTTCATTTCATATTTCACTTGGGGGGATTGAAAAGACTGTGCAGGCAAATGCCCAGGTTTTATCATAAAAGTGGTAGGTACCACTCTGGATACACCCTCGTGTCTGTTGGACGACTCGACGACAATGGTTTTACGGCCACTTTTGGAGGTGGCAAGTGCGTTGTTCGAGGTCCTGATGGGGAGGAACTAGGTTCCATCCCCAAGTCGAGCCGAGGCCTGTATAAAGTTGTACATGAGGGGGAATCTGCAAATGCAGCAGAGGAAGCTATTACCTTGGAGCAGCTCCATCGTCGAATGGGCCACATCTCCCCAGGCATTGCAAAAAAGCTGGTCACTCAGGGTTTTGTTACAGGTGTTCGTCTCGTTTCTACGGCCGATGCAGAAATTTTCTGTGAGTCATGTGTCTATGCTAAGGCTATGAGAAAGTCAGTCCCGAAGGCTCGCGAGGGCGAGCGCGCCAAAAATTTGGCGAAGAGGTCCACTCTGACCTCTGGGGACCGGCTCCTGTTCAGACAAAAGGCAGACGACGTTACTACATAACGTTCGTCGACGACTACACCCGACTTACCCATCTGTACCTTCTTCACACGAAGGATGAGGCTTTTGAGGCCTACAAGGAGTTCGAGGCTTGGTCCATAAACCAGCTCGAAGTGCCGGTTCGTATTCTTCACTCAGATCGAGGGGGAGAATACCTGGGGAAAGAATTTACGGTTCATTTAAAGTCAAAAGGTACAAAGCAGAAACTCACCGTTCACCATACCCCTCAGCACAATGGTGTTGCGGAACGACGTAATCGCACTATCGTTGAACGCATTCGAGCCCTCCTGCACGCTAGTGGACTTCCCAAATATTTGTGGGGAGAGGCGGCGCGCCACGTTGTTTGGTTGATGAATCGCACATTGACGAAGGCTGTCGAGGGCAAGACACCCTACGAGGCGGCTCTTGGCGTGAAGCCTGATTTGAGTGGGGTGTGTGAGTGGGGTGAAAAGTGTTGGGTTCGTGTTGAGAAGGGGAGTAAACTTGGAGGCCATGTCCGCGAGGGCCGTTGGGTTGGTGTAGATGACAAGAGCAAGGGTGTTTGTGTCTATTGGCCGGATACAAAGACGGTGTCGGTTGAGCGCAATGTTTATTTTGATCCTACTAGCGCGTCAGTTGCTCGTCTCGAGGGGGAGGATTGGGAGTTCATCGAAACGACAACTGGACTTACCACTATTTCACCCACCATTCCCCAGATGGCCACAGCTCCTACCCTGCCTATTGTTGGACCCTCAACTCCTGCTGAAACCCCTGCTGAAAGTGAACCTGAGGAGAACGAACCCTGTGCAAGGCGTACTCACAAACCCAGTCAACGCATGCTTGAAATACTTTCCGGGCGCGCTGTGAGCTCCTCTCGCCCATCTGATCCCCTTGTCGCACCTGGTGTTCAAGTGCCGACTGTCGTTGTTGAGGAACCTGAGGGGGAAGAAACCCCAGATGTGTTGATGGCTGTCGACCTCGTTGAGCATGCCATGGTGGCAGAAATGAGTGAGGCTGAGGGTTTGGAACCCCGTAGCCTTGCTGAAGCGAAACGTGGTGCGGATTGGTTGTTTTGGGAGAAGGCGATTTTCGAGGAACTGGAGACGTTGGAGGATGCCGGAACTTGGGAGCTTGTCGATCTCCCAGCTGGTGCCAATCTCGTTGGGTCGAAATGGGTTTTCCGCGTGAAAAAGGATGCTGGTGGACACGTTGTGCGCTTCAAAGCTCGTTTGGTTGCCCAGGGCTTCTCGCAAGTGCCGGGTGTCGATTATTTCGACACGTTTGCGCCAGTTGCGAAACTTGGGTCAATTCGGACTGTCCTCGCGATGGCCGCCAAACTGGATTTCGAACTTCATCAGATCGACATCAAGAGTGCATACCTCAATGGAGAACTCACCAAGGACGAAAGCATCTACATGAAACAGCCCCCCGGCTATCCTGCACCCAACTCCTCTGGGAAGGTCTGCCATCTTCTGAAGACACTCTACGGCTTGAAGCAGTCGGGTCGTCGTTGGTACCAGAAGCTCGTGGAGATTCTGGTGAAGTGTTTGGCGTTTGTCAGAAGCGATGTTGATCAGGCTGTGTTCTATCGTCACGGTGGTCACGATGGTCATGCTACCATAATCGTTGTCGTTCATGTCGACGACTGCACCATTGCCGCATCCACGCTTACCCTCATCGTTGCCTTCAAGCGTCAGATCGCCGAATATGTGGAGATAACCGACCTTGGGGAGCTTCACTGGCTCCTCGGCATCGAGATCAAACACGACCGTGAACGCCGTACCATCCACCTGTCCCAACGCTCGTATATCGACTCCATCGTTGCCCGATACAACTTTCAAGATTTGAAGCTGGTATCGACGCCCATGGAGACCAGCACCCGTCTTTCCACCTCCCAGGCTCCAGCCACTACGCTCGAAATTGCCAAGATGCGCAACGTCCCTTATTTGGAAGCAGTCGGCTCCCTTATGTATGCCTCCCTTGGCACTCGTCCTGACATTTCGTTTGCAGTTCAGACTGTCTCTCGGTTCTCGAAGAATCCTGGTCTCGCGCATTGGGACGCCGTCAAGCGAATCTTTCGCTATTTGAAGGGCACGGTGGATCTGTGGTTGTCATATGGAGCGGTGAAGGATAATTTGGTTGGGTATGCGGATGCAGATGGGAGCATGGCAGAGGATAGGCATGCTATCTCTGGGTACGCTTTTATGCTTCACGGCGGCGCTGTTTCTTGGAGTGCTAAACGTCAGGAGATCGTTTCCCTCTCCACCACGGAGAGCGAGTACGTCGCTGTCACTCATGCTGCAAAGGAAGGACTTTGGATTAGGTCCCTCCTTTCCCAACTTTTCCCTGGGAAGCTCGACCCCACCACACTCTTCTCGGACAATCAATCCGCCATCGCACTCGCCAAAGACCACCAGTACCACGCTCGCACCAAGCACATCGATATCCGCTTCCACTTCATTTGATATGTCATCGAAAACGGTTCTATTCGGCTCATCTACTGCCCTACAGACGACATGGTCACCGACATGCTCACCAAAGCCCTTCCGTCTGCGAAAGTCAAACATTTCGTGTCTCAGCTCGGACTTTCCGTCCCTTGAGGGGGAGTGTTGGAATAATCAAGGTGACGACGTCCTCGCCGTCTCCATATCCTTGGATAAATTCCCTTGCTTACATTCTTTTCCCCTTACTCACATGTTCCTTTATATTTCATATTCTTCATCACTCATGATACGTTCCTTGCACGCGTCCAAATGTAATGTGTGCCTTTAGTTACTCCGTAGAACATAAATACTGGACTCTATGTACTTCCACCTCAGTTGTTTGGCTTACCTGCGCAAACACTGAGGTGAATATCTTTTACTTACTTTCTATTTCACTTTACTGATTCACCCGTAGTCTACGTTATCTTCGTATAGGTGAATCTATAGTCGTTTGGCTTACCTGCGCAAACACTGAGTCTACGTTATCTTCGTATAGCTAATCTTACACATGTAGTGCTTTGGATATCTGTACTTTCTACAGTATGCATAATCATGTTGGGCCAGCTGAGTATCTTGTAACTGCTCATTGCTCACTCATGGGTGTTGATCCCAGATCCACCCATTCTTGCCTCCTCCTTGTAATCCTGGGATTACCACATCAGGCATTGTTTGGCATCGGCTCCTGGACTATTTGGTTCTCTATATACGCGCTTTCCTCTCTTAACCACGCACCACCACATTCTCTGCATACGCACCTCCGCTCCTGTACCTTTATCATCTAGATACCCTCAGAATCATATAAGCGGTTAAATTCTGACGGTTTCTGTGAGTAGTGTTATCTATCCTGTGATCACAGGATAGATTTCCACTTTTTTTGAATTTTCGCCGCCGTTATCGGTTCTGACCTATCTTGACATGCGCATATAGACACCGCCTTTTGAGGCCTTAACCAGGTTATCGTTTGGCGCGTGTATACGCTGTCTTGTACGTCCACGTTGCGTCTGTCGTTCACAACATGTCAACCCTGATATTCCGTTTATGAACAGTGGAGGGTCCTTGTGCCTGTACCACTAAACCGTCATTAGCCGTTACCGTTCGCCGCAACACTGGAACACCTTCATTTCACTCGTACCACTGCCTCTGCTCAACAGCTGCCGATTCTCAACGGTTTAACACCGACCACTCGGGTTAGGAACAACCGTTTGCCGTCACAGCAGCCGTTACCTCCACCAACTTCCCCAAGTGTTTCCGTTCCGCTCTCATCCCTGCTCAGCTCTCCCCCATCATCTTTCTGTCTTTCGTCCGACTCTTCTGACGACGAAAAACACGCATATACTCAGTCAAAATCATTTCCCAAAATGTCTACGCTGGCTTCTGTTGATCCTAGCAGCGCGAAAGCACCTATTCTCACTCAGGGCAACATCTCTCCAGCGGTAATGATGGATTTTGAAAACGCAGCCCTTGATTTCTTCGTATCCAAGTCCATCCCTGCCGACAAACAGGTGACTATGATTATCCCTGGGATCAAGGATCTTCACATCCGTGACTGGATTACTGCTGAACGCGCTCGCATCGTCGTCCTACCTTTTGCGGATTTCATTACTGAAATGAGAGCCAATTATCTTCCCCCTGATTGGGAAGATCAAGTGCGTAACGAGATCTTGACTTCAACACTCGCTGCTTCCAAAACGTCTTTCTGGAACTGGTCGCAGAAGCTCCTTAAACTGAACTGTCTACTTCGAGGCATGCCGTCTGCTTTTGATGAAGCAGCATTGCGCAATCATCTGGAAGCACATCTCGACGACGAACTCAAAGCGAAAGTCAGGCATAGCGACGCTCACAAAGACAAGGTTTTTAAAACCTGGGTTATAGCTGTCCGCCTCCTTGACGAAGCCCGTGCTCTTGAGACCAAGCGCCAGCATGAATTAATTGAGGAAACGCTCACTCAGCGCCAATCGAAACGCCAGAACACCAACAACGATACCTTACGAGGCGCATCACGCCGTGCAAATACTTCTCAATCCAATACCTCAGCTAGTGGCTCGTCCTCTTCTTCCTATACCCGTCTTCCCACCCTCACAGAGACGGAGCGCAATCTCCTTCATGAACATGATGGTTGTACCAAGTGCTGTCGCTTCTACGCCGATCACAGGTCCCGTGATTGTCCTAACGGTTTCCCTGCTGGCAAGAACTATAAGACTCTAACTACCGCAGATGCTATGACTGCTAAGAAGGGCAAGGCAGTAGCTAAACCTACTACCAAGCCCGTCGCCGCTACCAGCGCATCCATCGAAAACATCGACTCTGATGACGACATTTCTGCGGCTACAGCAATTTTACCCAACTCCCTGGGAGAATATAACTCCAATTCGGATGGGGGGGATTTGTCACGTCGTGAGGTGAGTCCGCTGATCTGTGGCAAACATCTGGTTTGGAATTGCCAAGCACATAGCTTAATTGAGGATTTTCCAGTGAAAACACGCGTGTTGATTGACAACGGCACGCACCTGGTCCTCATTCGCCCCGAGCTTGTAGAACGCCTTGGACTGAAAATGCATGATTTGGCAGAACCTGAACTCGTAGATGTCACATTCAACAACCAGCAGAAGAAAACAAAACTGTACCATTATGTTAAATTGTTTCGCCCTGAGCTTGTAGAACGCCTTGGACTGAAAATGCATGATTTGGCAGAACCTGAACTCGTAGATGTCACATTCAACAACCAGCAGAAGAAAACAAAACTGTACCATTATGTTAAATTGTTTTGCCCCGAGCTTGTAGAACGCCTTGGACTGAAAATGCATGATTTGGCAGAACCCGAACTCGTAGATGTCGCATTCAACAACCAGCAGAAGAAAACAAAACTGTACCATTATGTTAAATTGTCCCTCACTTCGTTAGACTCGTCTTGGACCTCGTGCACCGTTAGAGCCGTCGTCACTCCTGGCCTCTGTGCCCCCATTATTCTCGGATTACCCTGGCTCGTACATAATTCAATCGTTACAGACCATGCCGCTCGTACTTGCATAGATAAAAAGACTGCATATGATTTGTTGAACCCCCCGTTATTAAACCGCCTCCACCACCGAAACCTAAGTGAAAGAACAGATCAAAATACAAA